TTTATAAATAGTCCACTTTAGAAGAAACAAAGACTCTTAGGGAAATGAGTGATATCAGGTCTGCAGCAGGAACTATTAAAAAGTGAATCTGGAAGAACCCATTCTAAGATGCCTGGGTCCTAGTAAAGGACTGAGATCTGCTTGGTCAAAGACAAGACAGATTGCACATAATCAAGAATAACTGCAGGGCCTCCCTGGTGATGCAATGGGTTAAAGCAAAGCACTATGAAGCTATCGCAGCTACTGTGACACACAAGTTCGATCCCCAGCCAGGGGGCTGACCCACATGGTGCAGCAGACGTCCCCTGTCTTGCCCCAGGCTCCCCTCAGCAGTGTATTTCATTCAGTCTGCCTGTTCTGCTCCCCACTCTTGTCTCTGGTGAATCCATTCATCACCACCACCACCCCTGCACCTCTGGCCTGTACCCCAGCTCTTGTATGCTTAAATAAATGAATCTTAAAAAAAAAAAAAAAAAGAATAACGTAAGTGGACTGAGACATATCAAGCAGTAAATCGCATAGTTCATAATACTACCTCAAACAATAACTACAGTTGGAGAGTGAATTAACTCATAAAAAGAAAACCAAAACAGTAAATAAGGAGAAAGGTTCTAGGATCTCTCCTGTCTTTCACTATGGACTTGAATCACTGGGTGACTAAGTAATAAAATATTAGAGATGTTATAAAAGCATGTTAGTAACTAACGAAGGAAAATTAGGACATCCACGTTTTGCAATCCCTGATGGGTCTAGACATTGATCGTCATTTCTTGTTGTGGTTCTTTAAAGTGTTTTATTTGATCCAAAAGTAGATTCATAGGTAGCTTTTTAGTTAATTACATGTGTTCAAGTTCTAATGGAGGTTCTAGGCAGGAATTTATGATGGCTGAAAAATAACCAGGTAGTACTCCTGACTTACCGAGTTATGACTGAGAAATTATGTTCTCCAGATTACCTGCCTATAAAAACAGATCACGTACCTACCTCTGGAGTTTCTCAGGTTTTCTCCTTATTAAATAAAGTGCTAGATATCTATTAAAATGGCTTGAAAACTGTAAAATGAAAACTCACATGTGCCTTAGAGATGCCAGGTATTTTTTAATCAATGTGTTGGAGAAGCATACTCAATACTCCAAACTTGCCATTATCCTTGTTCTCAGTGTGTCATCAGTTCGGCTGCCTAAATGCATGAAGAAGTTCCTATTGTCGCTGATGTTTGCTAGTAGATGATTGGTTCAATTTATGCATTTCTGAATGTATTTGCATCAGGAACCATCTAAGGGCTTGGTTCCTGGTGTGACCACTGGGGGCATGGGGATTTTAGTTGTAATTCCTCAGGTCTAGAATTTACTTCCTCTCTGGTTTATGCAAGTCCATCTCGCCTTCCAGCCTGTGCTAGGTTGGTATGATTTCTTCATTTTATTTTCTTCATTGGTGTACATGGACTGATTAAGAGAAATACAGTAAATAAAAGTTTTAAGAAATGGTAATATTGAAGTGTTCTACTTGAGGTTACCTACCAAATTTCTTAGCCAGTAATTTCGTGTCTTTTTAATGAGAATGGTAAGTTGAGTAGACTTGACAGAAATCTGAGCATGAGAGCAGGAGCTCTGGCAGTGTCTTTACCAGAAATAAGTACATTGTCAAGGTGGGGCAAAATTTAGCATGACTAGTTATTTTTAACTTTGTATGACTTTTCATGCCTACTTAATGACTCACAGAAGACAATGTTATGAATCAGCTAATTGAACTGGCCTTCAGGCATTTCTGATCAAATTTTGCAATAAATAGTGTGAGATAACAAGTCATGAGTGAAAAGAGAGGAAAAGGTAATTTAATACCTATTTTTTGGAGTTTGGAGGAGAGTCCCAGAAGTATAAACTGTCCTAATGAGAGAGTCAGTTCAAAATACTTAGGTTAGGCTGCTTTTAAATGTAAAGAAATAGCCTGAAAAAGGAAAAGAGCTGTGAGAGATTCGTAAGTCAGCACTTGAACCCCTAGAGTCTGGTTCTGACCTTGCTGCTGTCTTTGGCCATCAGCATCCTCCTCTGTATGTGGAACTGGTTCTAGTCCCTGAGCTGTTGAGATGGATGGATGACATAATAATGTATTTGAGCAACTCTCAGGTAATAGTTTGACACATTCTTATTTTTGTGCCATAAAGAAAGAAGAAATGCTGCCAATAGAAATCAACTTTTTTTCCAGTAAGATGTACCTGAATTTGGGATGTTAAAAATTCAGTGGACAAACTGCATTTTAAAAAGCAATAGAATACACAGTGTGCCAAAATTTTGTACTTCCTAAACCTCAGAAGTCATAGTTCATCTTTAATTTGTGAATCAGGAGAGTGAAACAAAGTTGTCCGAATACCAGGCCAAGGTGAAGGAGTGACCCTTTCCTGGTCTTCAGTTAGTCCAGTAGCTGCTGAGTCCTTACTTAGGTTTCCAGAAGTACACATGTATCTCAAGTTTAGGGAGTTCTTAGGCCCAGTGAAAGTTGACTTCCCTCTAGGTTGACTTTTGAGAGAAATCACCACTTTCTCTGTTTAAGTATGACTTCCTCAGTCTTAGATTTGGTTGGTTTAGAACTTGCAGGTCCTTGACTACTGATTTTTAAGCAGCAAAGACTTTAGGGAGGCTTCAAGCCTCGCTGTCACAGTGCAGGTGCCAGCATTGCTCTTTCACAAATAGACCTTTTGTCACTGAAAAGGAACTTTGACCTGTTTGCAGATGACTTTAGACTTGTATGCCCAACACTGAAGATAATTATATGGAAGAATGTGTTCATGTTGAAGTGTAGGTTGGCTTTCCTTTTCTTTAGGTTCTGTAATTCACTTAAGGAAAAGTGTGACATTGTTCATTTATTGTCTCCCTGACTTTGTCTTGGTGTATTTGAACACATAATGAGCCATAGTTGAGGGTTTTAAGGAAAAGTTTATTTCTGTCTTTATTGTGGTAATCTTTCACAATGTACCTGTCAAAATATCACATGTATACCTTAAACTTACATCATACTGTGTATCATTTATATCAATAAAGCTAGGAGAAAAGTGTTTCTCAGTAAAAGCCTAGCATGTGAGATTTAACAGTTTGCCCTTAAAGAAAAGGTTCAGACTAGTCCTAGTTCACTAAGATGCTTTCCAGATAACTAAGTCTTTACTGAAAGTATGGTGAAATTCTTTATGCTCTAAACAGGAGTTGGCATTTTTTTTTCTATTAAAGGGCCAGGTAGTAAAAGGCTTAGGCTTTATGACTCACATGAATTATCTGATATAAATTCTTTTTTTTATTGTTTTGTTTTTAAACAGCCTTTTAAATAAAGATGTAAAAATCTTTTTTTTAGAAAAAATAATTTTTTTTAATAAAAAGATACTGTTTTATCTTTCCTGTGACAAAAACAGGCCTCATTTGTGGTTTGCAGAGTCCTGTTTAGCAAAAAAGCTTATCATAAGTCTTCTTGGAGAAGTGAAATGATTCTAAAGCTAGAATAGGGAAAATATTAGAGGAACCTGGAGCTTCTTATGCCACAACATGAGGAACTATTGGAGAAAAAGGGAGAAAGGAATGGGGCATGTTAGTGATTCCAAGGGCCAAAACTGGAATAGTTTGAGCCACAAAGCAAATAATGAAACTATTAGTTTATAATTTAATAAGATACATATCCTTGTGATACATGCAATTATATAATACATTATATGCGCGCGCGCACACACACACACACACACAGAGTTGAATAATGAGGGGAAAGGGAAAATCTTCCTAATAGAAGAACTCCAAATAAAAAATGTAGAAAGAATGATGGAAATAGAAATCCATAGTTAGATTATCACAGTACTAGTTGCTGTGTGCATGGTACACTGGCAAAGGTAAAACTGAGTGTGCAGAACTGAGACACGGAACATTACTGTGGTGATTTTAAGCTATGTCTGCAGGTTCTGTAGAATGCCTCCCTCCAGGAAGTGGCTTAGGGCCCTTCCCTGTGTGTGTGCACTGGACTTTGTGTACAGGGGCAAGTGTAACTTCATGGTGGTGAAACCTGGCCGAAACCCCTGGGCCAAAGGATCAAGGTTCACATCCAAGAACAAGTTATGCCAACATCATGTGCCTGATTGATGTGGCAGGAGGGCAGTTCATGCTGCACTGATTCTGCTCAAGTGTCTACACCTTGAGCCCAGTTATGAGTAAACATCAGGCAGCCCAAATTGAGGGATTTTCTATAAAATAATTGATCAATACGCTCCAAAAGTGTCAACGTTTGACACACAAGGAAATGCTGAGAAATGTCAGAGATAGGAGGAGATGAAGATTAAATGCAGGATTGGTAGCCTAGAGTGAAGTCTTGGGGTAGGAGGAGGGGCTGAGGGAGGACATTGGTGGGAAAACCAATGAAATTCCAGTCAGGTCTCTGAAGTTATGTTAGTAATTTTTTTTTTTTAAGATTTATTTATTTGTACATACAGAACTGGGGTACAGGCCAGAGGCTCAGGGGTGGCGAGAGGTTTTACCAGAGACAGAGCGGGGAGCAGAACAGGCAGATCCACAAAGTACACTGCTGAGAGGAGCAGCGGGCGGGTCAGGAGAGGTCTGCCGCGCCATGTGGTCTCCTCCGGGGCAGGTGGGAATCGAACTCATGTGGAAGTGGCTTAAGCTTCTCAGTGCTGTGCTTTAACCCGCTGCGCCACCAGGGAGGGCCTATGTTAGTAATATTATACCAACGTCTTAGTTTTGATAATGGTACACCATGACCACATAAGATGTTAATTTGTGAAGCTGGGTGAAGGGATATGGAGACTGTGTTTTTTGTAACCGTAAATCTAAGATAGTTTTATAATAAAAAAGTTTTTTAAAACTCTGGCTTTGTAACCCTGGATCAGTCATTAGCTTTATCTTGGGCTTTTAAACATTATTTTACTAACTAGATGATGGAGGATAAATTGGTTTGTTTATTAAAGTTGCTTTTGGAATATCTGTGTTTTTAATATTAGTTGTTTTTCTTTCCAGGGGAGACACCTGCTGCAGAAGTTTCTTCATCTTTTGTGATCCTGGCTTTATGCAGTTTATTGCTGTTAGTTGTGTTAATTGCCAACTGTGTTTCCTGCTGCAAGGACCCAGAAATAGACTTTAAGGTGAGCACAGATGGCAGAAGCGTGGAAGTCATCCTCTGATGCATTTATTGGTAGAATGAATGACTCTTGGGAAGAGGGGTCAGCAGACTTTTCTCTGTAATGGCCAGGTAATAACTTTCGTCCGGTCATAAATAGTAAGCTCTGTGGGCCATACAATCTGTCATAGCTAACTCTGCTCTCTTCCATTGTTGTGTTGTGTCAGTCATTGACAGTATCTAAATAAATGGATTTGGCTGTGAGCCAAAAATGGAAATAGGTGGTTTGGATTTGGCCCACCAGCTGTACTTTGTTTATATGCCTTAGAACATCAATGCCTGTAACCTTTTGTCTGTTTTAAGTTTTGCTAAGTGAGAAAGAAAACATTGAATTCATTTGTAATAAGGCCTGTAAGGAAGAACAGCCTTGTTTTGCTTTTTTCCCCCCAAACTTTTCTACATGGTTGAATTTGTGGCTGTTAAGCTTATTGAGGCCAACGGTCCTCCACTGTGTTTTGTGTAGAAGGAAGAGTATCTTTTAGTTTACCTGGAACCCTGAAGTTCCCTAAGGGGAAGAAAGAAGATGCCAATTGTAAATCCTGGTATTGTAGCAGCAGATGGGTGGAATCTGCCAGAAACCAGCTGGGGTATCCGACTCTAGAATTTACTATATGCTGCTGGCATGGACCAAAGTTCGGTGAATACTTGTTAAAAAAGAAATACATGGGTCCTCCATAGTGGCACAACGGGTGAGGACACAGCACTGCAAGCTGGCGGCAGCCGCTTTAGTGAGTTTGAACCCCAGCCCCGGAGGATCCACATGGCCAGCAGACCTCTCCTGACCCACCCACTGCTCCCCTCAGCAGTGTACTTCGTTGATCTGCCTGTTCTGCTACCCACTCTGCTTCTGTCTGGTGAAGCCTCTTACCACCCCTGCACCTCTGGCTGTACCCCAGTTCTATATGAATAAATAAATAAATCTTTTTTTAAAAAAGGAATACATGGGGAGCATAAAACATGAATGCTGCTTGCTGAGAAAACGCTTCTTCCTATAGCACCCTACCAACTATAGGGGCTCTCCTGAAGGTTGCTGGTTCAAATTGAGGGAAAAAGAAACTTTCAGCTAAAAATCCTTTTATCAGACAGGTGAACCTTGTTTCTAGAGCCTCACACCTGTTTCACTTTTGTGTTTATTCTCTCTACTTTGCATTACATACACACAGTGCGTGAACAGAGCAAGGCTATGGGAAGACTCACTAGCAAAGGTCATTTCCTTTACAAGATTTTACTGAAAACCTGTAGGGCTTTATTCATGACATCACTTCCTCGGTGCTAGGATCACAGCAGGCACTGTGGAAACTTCTGACTGCACAAATGGGGGCACTATGTAGGCAGAGAATCCATATCCCTTGTCTGTCTTACCAGGAGACTTTGCACAGACACTTGGCCACTTGAGGACAAAGATAAAGTCTGATTAGCATTGTTGGAACTGAAACCCAGTCCCTCTCTCACATGTCATGTTTTAGATTGTTCTAAGCTGGCTGATCTCAGTATTTACTGAGGGGGTTTATTATGATATAGACTTCAGCTACCCCAGGTAACTCTGATGTGGGAACCCAGAGACCACAGTATAGAGGATTCTCTATAAACTATAACTCTACAAACTGTCTTGACAGTTTGGTATGGGGTTTAGAGCTGAGTGGTTCCTGTAAAATGATTTTACAGACCAGGAATACAAGTCTGGTAAAGTAAAGGACTTGCCCACGAGCATTCTGATAGTCACTGTAATGACTTTAAAAGTGATCCAGACCCTCCCTGGTGGCAAAGCAGGTTATAACACAGCACTAAGAAGCTAAAGCCACTTCCACATGAGTTTGATCCCCATATGCATGAGTTCGATCCCCGCATGCCCCGGAGGTGATCCACATAGTGCAGCAGACCTCTCCTGCACCACCAGGGAGGGCCAAGTTTTTTTTTAGTGAGAGAACTTTCAGGAATGTCCAGAGGGAAAACTGAACAAATCTCTCTGTCAAGGTGATTAAAATTATGGTACTTGTTTGTTCTGTTCAACTCCCTACTCCCTGAAAATAGCAAATCATGGCCTAATGAGTTTGACTAAGTGACATGTATATATAAGAATGTAAATATTATACCAGAGAAATCATCTACCCCTGTAACTTCGAGAGAGAGAGAGAGAGAGAGAGAGAGAGAGAGAGAGAGAGAGAGAGAGAGAGAGAGAGAGTGTGTGTGTGTGTGTGTGTGTGTATTAGGGTATGGGGGGGGTCTATGGAAATGCAACAGAAAAAGAAATAAAAAGTTTATTCACAGATATTTTCTCAGCTTTTATTAGGGTACCTACTTGTTAATTATCAAGGTGAAAGACCTTGATAATCATCTGTGTCTATGTTAAATCAGCATGGACACTGAGGCCCACCTCTTCACTGGGGTGATGATGGGAAGGGTCAGCCCAGCTTTCTGCCAAAGTCTCACCTCTGTCATTGCATCTTCAGTTTTAAAGTTACCATTTTTAGAAAACTCTTACTATGTGAATTGTGCTTAAGTGCTATGCAGCTTTATACTGGCCTTTGTGATTCAGATCTTGATTTTTCTTCCTAGTCTAATGATTTTCCCATTGTTACTCTTTCCAGAAAATATGAGTCACTTAAAACACTTTTAACTGTCCTTATTTTATAGAAATCATGTTGCAACTAGAAATATACAACTTTAAAATAAATTTATTTTGATTCATTATGCAAAGAGATTTGTGAAAGTGAATAATAAGAAAAGCTTAGACTAACATAAAAGTAAAATTTTGAGCCTAGAAGAGTTTTTGTTTTAAGTTCCATGATCATTTTGGAAATTTGCATCCAATTTCAAATTGTCAACTTAAAAGCTACATAAAATATATGTGACTTATTTTTAAAATCTCTTGTTCTCTTATTTGGAATTGGAGAACACACATGTGCTTTTTACTTGAAATATAATTTAGAAAAGAAATTATGGCAGCATATTTCAAATGAGTCAATAAATGGTCATATCTTAAATACTAATAAATATTTTAAAAATATTTATTTTCAAACTGATTTGTGTTAAATATAACCTTGCTCTTCTTTTATTAGGAATTTGAAGATAATTTTGATGATGAGATAGATTTCACACCACCAGCAGAAGATACTCCCTCTATTCAATCCCCAGCAGAAGTTTTCACACTTTCAGTACCAAGTATCTCATTACCAGCTCCATCGCAGTTCCAGCCTTCTGTAGGTAAGACCACGTGCACCCTGCTGTCATGTTCTCAAGGCTTATTTCTTAGAAGAATGGGAGTCTTGTTGCTTTCTGATAATAAAACATGGACTTGTTTCATCTCCTTGCTTATTTCTCCTCTTTTTACTTTTTGGGAAGTTGCATATCAGTATTCCTGGAAAAGTTGAGTCCTTTCCTTTTAAACCATGATTCTGATAGAAGAATGGGCAGATTTCATAGTTTTATCAAAATGGAACACTGGAATAGGGCATTCTGTCACCTCCTGGAATGTCCTGTGATGGAGAAGAGAGGGGTATTTGGATATGTTAATCAGATTGACTTTTCATATGCTTCATAAGATGCTAAGATATATTACTCAAACGTGTAATGAAGTAGAATTAACTAATGATTCAAGAGTTTGGATGCTAAGACTACGATGAGAAGGCTGTGTAAGTCTTTGTAGGTGCCACACCTGCCTTTGGTGTTGCTACATGTGGTGCTGTATGTTTAGGACAGTATAAAACCAAAACTGATTATACTAGTGGAGGCCTCCATGAGTAAAAGAAAAAGTAAGGTAAAACCGTCAGCTGTACATTTCATAGAAAATATTTTAAAAGTACAGAATGTTTAATATTTGTAGATTTTACAACATTAAAAAATGACATTTAGTGATCAGCTTTAATATCTATAGATATTATTACCCTTACTTTAGCTAAAGCAGTGAAGTTTAAATTTCCTTGAGATAACTTAAATATCCTATCTCTAAATGGAAGTGTTTTTTCTTGGCTTGCTTGATATACTTCTTTATATTTAAGGAAATCCCTGAGAGACTTCCAGGGCTTTTACAGCCTAGAGTCTTAGCACTCATGAATTAATTCCAAGTTGTAGACTTCAACTTCAGGTCAGCATAAGTAAAATGCTTATGTGGAACCAGAGTTTGGGAGGAGTAGGGGCTAAGCTGGCAAATAGAGTCTAGGGCTTAAACTTAACTAGAGTCAACACTTTATATGTATTCCTCAGTTTTCCTCTTTGCACATCAGCTTAATCTCGACTATTCTCAGTGAGGAACTTGGCTGCTACCACCTCTTAAGTTTATATCCTTTAGCTTTTGATCAGAGGAAGGGTGCTTCTTTCCTTGGCCCAGAAAGAAAACCTTGGAGAGGCATTCTTTTTGGTTTCACCTGATTATGGGGTGAGGACTGGATACTGGGTAGGAAGGCAGGACCCTGACAGCTACTCTTTAAGCTATAGCAGGGATGGCCCAACCTGGGCAGCCAGCCTGCTGTGTCCATATACCTCCTCTGCCTCATTGAAGCCCTTACCTAGCATTCCTTTAAACAGGAGGCAATTTTAAATTTCTCTGCAGAGAATACTGATAAAATATTTTTATCTTGAGATTTAAGAAGCCTTTTCAATATTCTGTGGAAACCACACAAGAAAATATTGCCAAATTTGACTATAAAATATGTGGGAAAAGTAGCAAAAATAGTGAAAACTACAAAAAAAGTTAGAAACTTAAAAGATAGGTAGCATTGCAAACAAATCTGAAGAAAAACTCCACTAGAAATAAGGATTTGAAAGGGAAAATTTATGAAAGAAACCCAAGTGGCCAGTAACTTCAGTGTTAAAGAAATACAAATTTAAGATCATAACACATAAACAAAGATGAAGGGAAGAAAATAGTAGGTAATGATTTGTTAGGGAAGTCTCATATGCTCATACACAGGCAGTCTCATACACTCACTGCTACTTGAACTGTCTGTTGATAAAGGCATTCTTTCTGGAGGGACAATCTAACAGCATGTATCAAAATGTAAAATGTGTTTACCATTTATCTAACAATCCCACTTTTAGCTATCTTTCTTTAGGAACTAATTGGGCAGATGTGTAATATATAGCTAAAAAGAATTTATTAAAGCATTATATGTATAACATAGAAATAGGTTAAATGTCAGTGTTACTTGTTAAATTACTGTAAATTATAGAGTATAATGGAATGCTTTGAAAGGATGAAAGTGAAAATATGTGATATAAAAGATCTTTATGGTGTATTAAGTGAAAAAGGTAAAACACATATTCACAAACAAGTATAGAAGAAACACCCAGATTTTCCCTTTTTCAAAGAAATGTATTTTTGATAGTTAATAATGTCCATCTGGATTTTTGAAAAGCAATACATAAGACGGTAAATATTGTGAGTCTCCTTTTAAACTACTTTCTCCATTATGATGGAGATAATCAGTTATCATAAATTTATAATTGAATTTGAATTGATACCAACTTAGCATTAAAAGCATACAAATCTGTGCTCCTGTAAGCTCAGTCCTTACCGATATGTTGTCACAAATTACATCTTTATATATATTGTGTGCTCTTTAATGTAGATGAACAATTTTGTGTGCATTTGTCTTTTAAATCATGTTGCATGTATAAAAAGAGGAGCTACATACCAAATAATACAATATATGTTACCTTTAATATTTAAAAAATTTTTTTAACCTTTATTATTTACTTGGGTAGTTGTCTTTACCAGTGATGTCTATTTCTCTATATGGTGTTGAGTTACTATTTAATCTCCTTAATTAAATTAATGAAGAACTTCTTTTAGCATTTCTGGAAGGGTTGGTATCCCGGCAACAGACTCACTTTTTTTAATTTCAAGCAGAAGACGGCATACGAGATGTCGAGCAGTGACTGGAGTTCAGACGTGTGCTCTTCCGATCT